ACTCCTCTAGCTGATCATATGACCCTTGCAGCAGCTATAGGATCTCGTTCAGGATCCTCAATCAAGGGTGGGCAACGCTCGGACCAGCGCCGTCAGGGTGCCCCAGATCAGCGCAGACAGGGGGGATTCTCGTCAGTGTGATTATTGTAGCCGACCAGGAAATCTCAGGGCTGCTTGTTGGAAGCTCCATCCAAAGCTTAAGCTACCTCCTTGTGGCCGTACTATTGCTATTGCAGAGGTACTACTATTTACTACTGTTACTCCTTCTCCTTGACAGAGTGATATGGATGCTATCACTTCCCGATTGGATATACTTATGTCTGCTCTGACTTTTCAGTGTCCAACTACTACTGCAGCCACCACTACAGGTACACCTCGTGCCTTTCATACTTGTGCCAATCCCTCTTCCCTTTGGACACTAGACTCGGGTGCGAATAGTCACATGACAGGTGAGGCCCATCACTTCACCACTTTTGACGAACAGTTACATACACAGGTTCAGTTAGCAGATGGGACACATGCCCCTATTGTTAGTAGGAGTACAGTCCACCTCCCAGATGGCTTTACATTACGTTCAATTTTTCATGCGCCAAAGTTGGCCATGAATCTATTATCTATACATCAGTTAGCTAGAGATTTTTATTGTGCGATTGTGTTCTTATTTGATTCATGTTATTTGCAGGACCTGAGTACCAGAAGGATTATTATCAGGGGATATGAGAGAGATGAACTGTATTTTCTAGGCGATCCGCCTCCATTTTCACCAGTTCTTCCACCTACATCACCTGTACCTGCTTTATCTTTATATGTTCCTAGCTTGCATGCTAGTATTTTACCTAGTAATTGTCGTTATGATTTTTTGTCATAAACTGTTCAGTTGTGGTATGACTGTTTTGGACATACAAATTTTAAATATTTATGTATGTTGTTTCCTGCTTTGAGCAATACTTGTGTTAGTAGTAAACTTGACTATGTTATATGTTCCCTATCAAAACATGTTATGACCAGTTATATTCCTCGTATACACTAGTCACCCAAGCCATTTGACCTAATACACTCTGATATTTGAGGACCCTCTCATGTTACTGCTCTATCAGATGCCCGATACTATGTGAAATTTATAGATGATCACACCCGTTGTACTTAGGTCTACCTTTTGCATAGGAAGTCTAGTGTACTCCCTATAATCATTCAGTTTCTACAGATGATTAAGACACAATTCAATGTCATTGTTCATGCTCTTGGTTCAGATAATGCCAAGGAATATGTGTCTGATGCCTTAGTATCTCACCTTTCTTCTTAAGGTATCCTTCAGCAACTCACTTGTCCATATACTCCTGAGCGAAATGGCGTTGCTGAAAAGAAAAATAGGAGTCTGATAGGGATGGTACGTTGTTTGCTTAGAGGCATGGGGGTGCCAAAATCTTATTGACATTTTGTTGTTTTGACTTCTACCTTTTTGTGCAATCGTACACCGAGTCGTGTTCTTTAGCATAAGGCTCCCTGACAGATTTTATTTTCTGAGCGAACACTTTTTTCGGTCCCTCTTCGTGTTTTTGGATGCTCATGTTTTGTTCAGGATCGGTCTCCTACTCGTCATAAGCTTGATGATAAAGTAATTTGTTGTGTCTTTATGGGCTATTGCAATCAGTCTAAGGGGTATTAGTGTTATGATCTTGTTAGGCGTCATATGTATCACAGTCTAGATATTACCTTTCTTGAGCATATTCTTTATTTTTCTTCCAGTCTTGTGTCTCCCCCTCTAGTTGATCATACTTCCTTTAATTTTCTATTACCCCCGGAGCCAGAGTCATTGGTCACTATCACTACAGAGTCATTGGTCTCTCCTCCTCTAGAGCCACTCATCCCTGGTACAGAGTCACCAGCCTCTCTTCCTTTATAGGTTTATGTTCGTTATCCTCGCTCTCATCCCCCTACTGATGTACCCTCTACCTCAAGCGATGTAGGTAATACTTCTTAGTTTGTTGAGCATATTGATGCACCTGTTGTTAGTACTGATGAGATGAAAGGTACTGAGCCAGTTGTTTTCCCTAATGAGACATTGTCAGTGGAGGATGATGATTTAGAGCGTTGTTATCCACGACGTGATCGTCGTCCAGTTGTTCGTTATGGTTGGACTGCCAAGATTTTATACCCGATCTTTGCTTATGTTTCTTATGGTGATCTATCTCCTACATTTCGGGCTTATAGCATGGTCTTATCAAATACGTCGGTTCCTCGCTCTGTTTCAATGGCTATGTAGGAGCCCTAGTGGGTTCTTGCCATGCAGACAGAAATGGACGTAATCATACGTGGGATCTTATCTCTTTACCTTCAGGGGTGAAGCCTGTTGGCTGTCGTTGGGTTTACACCCTAAAGTTTCTTGCAAATGGTACTATTGATCGTCACAAGACTAGGCTTGTGGCGAAGGGCTTTACTCAAGTATCAGGTCGTAATTTTTGTGCTACCTTTGCCCCCGTTGTAAAATTGACTATTGTTCGACTGGTTATTTCTCTGGCTGCGGAGTACTCTTGATCTCTTCATCAGTTGGATGTGAAGAATGCATTTCTTCACGGTGATCTGGATGAGATTATTTATATAGATGCACCACCGGGCTTTCGTGGTGAGGGGGAGTATGCTGGAAAAGGTATATCGATTGCGTAAGTCTCTTTATGGACTGAAACAGTCACCATGAGCCTGGTTCTCTCGCTTTAGTGATGTAGTTATACGTTGAGGGTTCACCAGATGTCATTCTAATCATACCTGCTTCATTCAACGAAATATTTCTGGATAGTGTGTCATCCTTTTGGTATATGTTGATGATATTATTATTACTGGAGATGATGTTTCCGAGACTGCACAGGTCAATGTAGACCTTGGGAAGGCCTTTGATGTGAAGGACCTTGGATTTTTGCGATACTTTCTTGGGATTGAGGTTGCTTGTAGCAGCAGAGGTATTATTCTTTCTCAGAGAAAGTATGTTCTAAATCTTCTCTCAGACATTGAGATGCTGGGGTGCAAACCGGCATCAGCACCTATGATTCCAAACCTGAAGCTTATTGCTGAAGGTGAGGAGTTGAGAGATCCGTCTGTCTATCAGAGGTTGGTAAATGGACTTATCTATCTAGTCAACACTAGGCTAGACATTTCATTCACTGTTAGCTGAGTTAGTTAGTTCATGCACAGACCATGTCAACCTCATCTTGATGTAGTTTATCATATTCTTCGGTACCTCAAGTCTTGTCTTGGACTTGGGTTGTTCTATACATCAGGATCTCAAACTGGTTCTCTAGCTTGTTATTCATATTCAGATTATGGGGGAGCATATGACGGTCGATCTTCTACAGGCTTCTATGCTTTTCAAGGGACTCATCTTATCTCTTAGAAGAACAAGAAACAGTCAGTTATCTCTCGCTCATTAGCAGAAGCAGAGTATAGGGCACTGGCACTTGGCACTTGTCACATGTGAAATTATCTGGCTACGATTGATTCTTGGCGAGTTGGGATTTTCAGTGACTTCTTTATCTACATTATATTGTGATAATCGATCTTCTATTCAGCTTGCTTCTGACTCTGTATTACACGAGAGGACGAACATATAGAGATCGATGTTTACTTTCTTCGAGAGAAGGTTAGCAGTGGTATTGTTACTTCATCGTTTGTGAGGATCAGTGATCAGGTTGCAAATATTTTTACCAAACCTGTCACTCTATCCATTCTTCGGGACTCTGTTGTCAAGTTTGGCTTAGTTGACATTTTTGCGTCTAGCTTGAGAGGGAGTGTTGGATATATAGCAGCAGTCTAATTTATTAAGGCTTATTAAGTTTTCTATTTTTACCTTTTTATCCTTATTGTAACTTTCATTAGCTATATATATGAGGCTTTACACTTAGTTTGTATCCGTTTTACTCACATTTATCTCAAGTATCTCAAAACGATCTGAACCTCTTTTTGTCTTTTGGATTCTAACTTCGTTCTACTTTATTATATAGATAAGTAATGCTGGACCGACAAAAAAAATTCAAAAACATAAACCAAATGAGTGACATTTTAATGAAGCCAGTCAAGGGCGGAGGGAGGCTAGGGCCAGGGTGGGCACGTGACCCCCCTCTCAATTTTTTTTTATTAGTTAATTATATATATTATATATTTGTATAATATATTATTTGTACTCACCCAAAATCTAAGATAAAAATATTAGACCCGTATTATTTACTCAAAAGAATTAAAAAATTAAACTCATTTAAAATAAAAAATTTGAACCCACCACTATCTACCAAAATTTACTAAAAAATCAAAATTTTGACCCATCACAATCTACTCAAACCTATTAAAAAATTAAAACTTTTGGCCCACCATTAAAAAACAAATTTTTTGGCCCACTTGACAGACATCAGTAACACCTATCTTATTAGTTTTTTTTTCCTTCTCTGTCTCACTCACTCCCAGTTGCCCAACCAGAAGAAACAGAGTAAAACTCCTTCCTCAGTTCCTTGAGTTTTTTTGTCGTTCCTTGCACAGTTGATGGATTTAGTAGAGAGCACAGCCAGTGCCAGCATATGCCCGGGAGGGCCCATGTCCACTCTCAAATTTTTTTTCTTAACATTACCTATATGTATTTCAAGTATTTCTTCAATATTTCTAATTATGTCCACCCTATTTTTTTGGCACATCAATTAGTGTACACTTATATCAAATAAATATGAATTGTTTTGACACATTTTGGACATGTTATGTATATAAAGACCAAAGTGATAAAATGACGGTGTATGTAAAAAATAATAAAATTGTTATGCAACGGTTTCAAAATATGAAAATTCGATAGAGTCAATTCTAAATGATTTTAATTAGCCTATATTTTTTTAAAAAAAATTGGGTGTCGTTTGTATATACTAAGTTTATCAAATTTTGGTATGTTGGGTTTAATGAACTTTTAAGTGTTAAATAGGATGTAATTAAATATAAATTATTATTCTATTTCTATTGATTGTTAAAAAAAATTAGTTTGTTGAAATATATGGGCCTACCCTGACATGACTTTCTAGCTCCGCCCCCGAAGCCAGTGCAGTGGTGCTAGCCACCCTCAGCCTGTAGGTCTTGTTTGGTTGTACGTTGAGGATTTGGGCCGCGCACTGCTCGTTCCCGGTCAAATTGCAAGGGCCAGATGACGTATTGCTAACTTGCGCAGCTATTGAACAATTGTATTGCCCTCTCCCGTTCATCAGCGGTGTCTACAATCATTTCCACAAAAAACAATAAACATGAATACCTTTGGCTTGAAGTGAAAAAACCCACTTTCCCCGTATTCAAAACGTTAATTGTGTCATATTCTTGGCGTGTCATCATTTTGGATCATATCATTTTGATTCATGTTACAGTTTGCATACGAAAAAAGTTAAGGTAAATTTAACATACCACGTGACAGTGTCATGTGACTTACATATTCAATGAAAAATTATCATGTTAGACACATAAGTTGACTTTTATTGGGAATGCACAACTTCTCTGATTGGTAGACACTGTCAAGTAATGTGTTAAACCCAAACAAAACCAATACACAACTATCTAAGTACCTGGGGTTCACCAACCCATTGAAATGGCTTGAAAGAGAGGTCAACCTCTTGTTCCCGAGAGCTTTTATGCCACCAATCACCGAGTAATAGACTAAACTCTCCGTCATAATGAAAAGGCTCTCTCTCTCTCTCTCTCCCTCTGCCACATCCACCATCAGAGATCCATACAAGTCTGCTGACCTTTGCATCCCATAGTATCCATGGTAGAAATATGTTCCAGCCTATACCACAACATACCATACGTATAGCTCCATACAACAAATAATACATACTGAAAAAAAGATATACATGATTTGCCCTAGTTATAAAATAAAATTGAGAAGAAAAATTCACTAATGATTGAGAAAGAGAGAGATTGTGTGTGTGTGTGTGTGTGTGTGAACAAAGCTTTACCTTATTTTAACCTGTAGACAAAGGTGTCTCCAGGTTTAATTGCACACTGTGAGATGGATGCGGTTCCATCAGACCATGGCGTCCTAAACTAAAATTAAAAAAAGAATAGAAGTATGGTTATTAATATATATATTATTTTTATTTATTATAATTTAATTTTTTATTTTTTAAAAAATTTTTTTTTTTTGAAAAACAAAAATATTGATCAAGTTCTTATATTCAAGTTTTGTCAACAATTCTTTCTTAATAGATAATATAATTAATTCATTCAATCTTTTTTACGACATAGTTGACTGTAAATAAAATTTTATTAATCTAAGTTTTTAAAAGCTTCTTTTTGCTGAAGCGACTGCTATCGGTATGATTAACAAAATTCTATAAACAATGCATGTAGGGAGCCAGATAGCATCGGAGATGCAAAGTTGCGGAGATGGATTAGGTTTCATATTTATACTAGAGTTTTTTATTTTATTTTTATTTTGCTTAACCAAATATAGAGTAATTTTGTACCTAACAAAACTAGACATGATTTGGACTCTTAAAATTTAGAGCCCTAAAAATTTGAATCCAATCAAAAATTCAGAATTTAAAAAAAAAAACAAAAAAATTGGGCCTGATAAAAGAGTACATTTTTTGAAGAGCTAGACAGCTAACTTAGTGGCCTATGTCTATGTCTGGCCCTTTGCCTTACAAAAGTGATGCTCACTACTGTAGGTATACTAGAGGGGTTCTTGAGCATGGAGGAGGGGGGCCATGGCCCCATGCTAGTTCCGTCTCTCGCAACGATGGTATCTCTGGCACGAGCACGAATGGTCGGTCCAGGAAACTGGCCATTGATCCCCATGACCGCATTCTCAAGGCAATCTGGAGACCACAGCATATACTCCACAACCAATTTGAAATGCCTGGTCTTATACCCCCAAATATAAATTAACCAAAATTACCAAACAAAACCAAAAAAACACATCCCTTATAGGCCTTGAACATGGGTCACCCGAAAAACCCATGTTCCCCAATATCAAAACTATAAGAAGAGAATGAAGGGCAGCCCGACCACTCACCGAGGCTGTCCTTCTCTCAAGGCTCGGCGCCTTAATTCCCACGTTTAAGTATGAAATAATATTTTATTTTTGTTATTTATAAAAAAATTAGAAAAAAAAAAGTGATTGAGGAGATGAGATATGAAGGGGAAAGAAATAGTTGAACGTAAATAAGATTTTATTAATTTAAGTTTTCAAAAGCCTTTTTTGGCTAAAGCGCCCGCTACTAGTATGATTAACAAAATTTTATAAACAATGAACATAGAGAAACAGAGAACATTGGAGATTGAAACTTGTTGAGTTGGATTAGGTTTCATATTTATACTAGAGTTTTTTATTTTAGGGCTTTTATTGTGTTTAACCAAATAAAGGGTAATTTTAGACCTAACAAACTAGCCTTAAAATTTGGATCTTATATAAATTTCAGAATTTAAAAAAAAAAAAAATTGAACCCAATAAAAGGGTAAATTTGAGGACTCTGGACAACCATCTTAGTGGCCAATGCCTAGGGCCCGGCCCTTTGCCTTACAAATGTGATGCTTGTTTAAATTAATTGAGTAATGTTACATATATTTAAAAATTAGACTTAAAAATTAAATTTGATAATCTCAATCATTGAATAGGTAGTGGGTCCTAATAAATGCTAGGACTTATAGTGAAATCAATGGTTGAGATTATCAAATCTAATTTTTAAGTCCATGCAACATTGCTCAAATCAATTTTAAGCTTAAGTTGTTCAAATAATTTTATTTAAAATCATTTTTTTCAACGGTGCTCACTATTCTACATCCAATTTGAAATGGTTGGTATTATACCTCAAAGAGAAATTAACCAAAATAACCAAACAAAACCAAAAAAATAACATCCTTTATAGGCACCGAACATGGGTCAACCGAAGGACCCACGTTCCCCAATACCAAAACCATAAAAAGAGAACCAAGGGCAGCCCGGTCACTCACCGCCGCTGCCCTTCTTCTCTCGAGGCCTGGTGCCTTATTTCTCTCCTTTAAGTATAAAATATTATTTATGTCATTTTATTTATCTAAAAAAATTAGAAAAAAAAAAGAGTGGTTGAGGAGATGAGAGATTAAGTGGAAATAAAAAATAAAAAAAGGGAATTTTCAAAGTTGGTGCATGTAAGTTTTGCATAAATGTCCGATTTTGTCGAAACTAAGTCATTATGTGCATGGAATACTGTAAACACCGACCCTCTATGTTGGGAGCAATAATAACAGAATGCCTACAAAGTCAATGCCAAATCAGTGCCAGGTCAATTTTACTTAATTCCAAAAGACTTACCACGTGCACCACCAACCAAATTAGTACAAATGGTTGGTCAGAACAAAAATACATAATAGAGAAATGTCATTTAATTCTAATTTCTACACTTGATATGTTGATTTAATCACTTATAGTCATTCAAATTTTACTATTTTAATGGGTGTTTTTATAATTTTTGTGGATCATGTTAGAACAATAAATTATAACGTTTGAGTGTATTTTTATTATTTTTATGATATTTTTAATTAATTCTAAAAATACTCACAAAAATAATAAATGAGAATACAATATTGAATTATTATTTTTTTGTACCGTAGACCTGTTCCTTTTTTAAAGTTGAGGTCTACTCCTTGTCTGGTTGGTAGGTACCACATTTGGTTAGAGAGATGGGATCTAACCTAGATAGAATCCTGGGTTAAAATTTTATTTCAAAACGCTTGAAATATTTTTATTTTTAAGCATATCTAAATAAATTACTGTTGAAAACAAATTATATCAAAAGAAATGAAATATTTTTGTTTTGAGAATAGTTTTGCATGGATGGTTTCTGTGAAAAAATTAATTTAGGTGCTTCAACTTAGGCTTTTCAAAATCTGATGCGACACGTTTAACCAACACGAATCGACATGAATTAAGCCGGTTTGAATAGTAAATGAGTTGACCTATCAGACACGTTTAATAAACGGATCGTGTTCAGGTGAGACCTATCAACCCATTTATCACCCGTTTATTAGTTTAAATTAATTTCATGTAATAATAAATTAATAATTATTATTATATATATATATATAATAATTAATGAGTAAAGAAAAAACAGTAAAGAAAACATTTCAAAAACAAAAGTAAGAAAATCAGTTCAAAAAACATAGGTAACAAAGGTTTTGAGCCTTTGAATTGTCTTTTCTTTGAATCCCATGTGAACATGGGAGTGAAGAGAGGAGCTTTAGTTGCCTATAAAAGAGATAGTGGGCCTCCTCCTTTTAGCTAACTTTTGTGGTGTGATTTATCATGTGGACTGTTGACTATTGGCTGGAACTCCTCTAATTAAGAAAAATATAGATGAAAGCAAAAAAAAAAATGGAGTTTCTATTATCATTGAATCACCAACATGTTGGAAAACTTGAGATTCACCTTGAATCACCAACATCTTAATTAATTATAAATCTTGATCTCCTACAGAATAAATTATCTAAAATATCAAAATTATCCCTCCAAACAACTATGAAATTCAAACATCTATACTAAGGTTTCATGACCTCTCGGATTCAATAGTAATATTATTTTGCCCTAAAATTTTTTAAACCCTTACCTAGCTACCCTTTTGAAGATTAAACGCCTCTAAAAGTAAATTTAACTTGAAAGTCAATACGTGCAATACTCAAATTTCATGATTATTCTTTCAACAAAGATTCAAAGTTTTTATTATCATTTGTTATTTTAGAAGCACTCTTAAAATCATACTATCGATGTTTATTTATAGTATGGAGTCTTACGGTAATACTAAAACCATCATAATTATAATGGCAAGTCATTTATATTTTTGTTCCAATCCTTTTGGGTGTCCAAGGCCATGAACAATCAAAAAAGGATGACTGATATCAATTGCTTGTGACTGCACACTAGGACCTAGTTGTTATGATTTAAATTTAATAAATCTTAATAATTTGATGGTCAAGCCCAAATGCCCAATTCATGTTATAAGCCTGGTCCGAGTTTATAGCTCAACTCCAAGAGATCCAACAAATCCAGTGCAATGTGGTCAACCAGATCAAGTTCATCAGACTGAAGGAGCTACTACATCCGCAAGGAGCAAGCAAGGCCATTTAAGAGCCTCCTCCTTTACTACTTTGGAGCAAAGGTCATCCAAAAGTCTCATCTACCACCTTGGAGTAAGAGAGCATCCAAGAGCCTCACCTATGCCACTCGGATAGAGTCTGCCTTCCCACATCCTTTGACCAAATCCTTTGGAGAGGACCATAACTTCTATGCCGGTTGAGGAGATGAGAGGTCTCCAAGATGTTTAATTACCATTAAAGTCACCCAAATCCGTTATGAATATTAAGTTGCCTCTAACCCGTTATGACCACTAAACCATCTATTCAATTACTACGCAGGTGACTATAAATTGTAAACTCTCCCAACACTTGTGGGCATCTCACTCATTTGAGCATAACTATATCCTCCTCTCTCAAAACTTGTAACATTCTGCTCTCTTTCTATACCGGAGATAATAAAATACCGGTGACCCTTGCCATTTAAAGTGGACGTAGGTCACGTTGACCGAACCACTATAAACATTGTCTTCTCTCTCCCTCTACTTATTTTACTGTATTTTATATCGTATACTTGATAGGTGGTATGCAAACCAATTTGTGCATCATCAGTTTGGCGCCGTCTTTGGAAAAGACAAAATTCTCACTTTTAAACACTTCATTTGCTGAATTAATGGCGATCACCACCAGATCCATAAAATCAGCCTGAAGATAACCCACCACCAAGAGAGAAGGAGGTTGCTCCTCAACTGACCAATCTTGCCCCAAATGCGCAGCAGATGCTCGAGACCATGCAGTAACTTTGAGGCCTAGAACCAGCAGATCCTGCAACTGATGCTCTCTAGGCAAGGAGGAGCACAACTTGGACCTCGAACTCGAGGAGCTCCACGCCCTGGGCATCAAGGAGCTCCCCACATGGGTGCTCCTCATCTGGGCGCCCCACCCTTGGGAGCCCCATTAGGCGCCCAGCACAAGAGAGCTCCCCACGAAGGACCTCCAACTCCTCCTCCAACTCCCCCTTCTCATTGTGGAGTCCCTCATTTTCAAGGGGATGAGGGTGAAAATCAAAGCATGGAGCATGAAAGTCATTTCTATGATAATTTCAAAGGACCTCCCAATCACTGGGACAAAAAAATTAAGGAGGTGCAAAATTAATTGGATGATGTCTTCAACGCCATAAAAGCACAGGGACCCGAGACAGTGAACTACCTCGTAAGTCAAACCAACACATCTTTCAAATCTGATGTGATGAACTATCCACTTCCCCAAAGGTTCAAAATGCCATTGATAGAAACTTTTAACGGTACAAAGGACGCACTTGATCATCTCAAAACCTACAAAACTCTAATGCAGCTACACAACATCCTCGACGAAATCATGTGCAGAGCATTTCCAACCACCTTGAAGGGATCCGCTTGGCAATGATTCTCCAAGCTCTATCCAGCCTCCATTAGCTCATTTACTGAGTTGAGCAGGTCCTTCATGTCACACTTCATTGGAGGACACCGCCACCAAAAACCTGCTACACATCTGCTCAATATAAAGCAAGATCGAGACGAGAGCCTAAGGAGCTATCTCACTCGTTTTAATGAGGAGGTCCCACAGGTCGAGGAGCCCGATGATAAAGTCAACATAATCGCCTTTCTAGAAGACCTCCGGTCATCAAGCCTCCTCTTCTCAGTGATGAAGCCCACCAAAGAGCATGCTAGAACTATTGACAAAAGCTCAAAAATATATGAATGCTGAGAACATCAACAAGTCTAGGCGAGGTGAATCATCTCATCGGTCGCCACAAGCTTGATCTATTTCTGCAGTGCTCTCAAGCAGGCAACCTATTTTTAGTTGAACGGCTCTCTCACGGGTCGCCAAAAGCTTGGTCTCTGCATTGTTCTTAAACAAGCAGCCTATATCTCCAGCTTAGCGGCTTTCTTAAGTCACTAAAAAGCTTGGCCTTTGCACTTCTTTTAAGTAGGCAACCTATTTTTGGCTTAGCGACTCTCTCACCGGCCGCCAAAAGCTTGGCCTCTACACTGTTCTCAAACAGGTAGCCTATATCTCCGGCTTAGCGAGTCTCTCGCGGGTAGCCAAAAGCTTGGCATTTGCTCTCCTCTCAAGCAAGCAGCTTATACCTCAAGCTTAAGAACTCTCTCACGGGTCGCCAAAAGCTCGGTATCAAAAGGTGTAGCTCTCTCACGAGAAATCCTCAAACTCTGTCTTTGCTCTCGTGCAAGCAGTCTACCTCTCTCTCCAAGTAATTATGTTAGATATTTTAATATTTGAAATAACATTATTTTTGCCATCTCTAGCCAAACACTTGAAACTCAGGTCGTCCGTAGCCCGAGGGACTACATTAAATTGAATGTCAACAATAGGGCCTCATTCGTTTGTGTCCATCTGGCACTGCCTCCTCGTTGCCACAGCACCCCGCGCTTAACACCTAGTGTAACACAAGCTCTACTTGCGCTTGCCTCCAAACAGCACACCTTCACGATCAACAAAATTGTCAGCCAAGGGCACCCAGTACTATGGGCTCCTCTCCAATAGTGCCCAACACCATAGGCGCCTCTCCATCAGCACCCAATAAAGTCCCATTTGACGAGACTGCCAAAGCACACAGCCTGATCTACCAACATGGATAACCGTTGTAGCAGCCCCACTCACCTGGCCTACTAGCCTCTCCATAGCACGTCCCCCAACAAGCACACTAGCGATGTCCGAGGCAAGCCCATACACCTGCGCGCCTCCTTCTCTCGCATGGCTTGCTCGCCAAAATTGGGGTCGTCATAGCCTGGGCGCCTAATGCCTCCTCCTCGCACTCCCCAGCACGTCTAGCAGCAGGAACCTCTTCTCTCCCCACTCCTTCGCCTACAAGTTGCTTCAGAATGGGTGCCCATGGCGCCTCTACACCTACTCCCAGAGCCTCCCCCTTCTCTTCGGGCTCTCCACCAAGATCCACGAGCTCCTCTCCATTTGACATTGTTCAAAGCATTCAACTCAAGAGCCTCACCTGTGTATTCTTGGAGGATTTCAAGTAGAACTCTCTTTCTCACTCAAGATTGTATGGAATGGGGCTCTTAAAAAAAAAAGAAGTTTTCATAGCTAATGGAGCCCCATAGGTAAAAGGAGTCCACTGGAAGAGGGGGAGTCAACAATCAAACGGAGTCTTAAAAAAATTTGAATTTAAAAAGGGTTACACGCTATTTTGACCGTAACTTTTGATCCGAAACTCAAAATGGGGCTTATTATCTACCAAATCAAAGCTCTCGACAAGCGGAGCAAAATTCATTACCTTTGGTAATAAGCTTTACAAAAAAAGTCCAAAAAAGGCTTAAATAGAGGTGTTTTAGCCTCCCGAAGTTTAAAAAAAAATAAAAAAAATTCTACTCACCCTAAACAGTATATTCTTGCTTGGAACAGTGCCCTGCTCACTTGGAATAGTGCCCAGCTTGCCCAAACAGTTCACCTAGCTCTTTGCTCGAAGTTTTGACCGTAACTTTTGCTCTGTTACTGGAAATGAGACTTATAATACATCAAATCGAAACTCTTGGCGAGCCCTACAAAACTCACAGCCTATAGCTATGATTGATGTTGTTGAAAGCTCAAAAAAGGCCTAAAAGCACAGTTTCAGGTCTCTCAAAGTTTTTCCAGTTATGTCAGTCAACCGAAAACTCAAATTCAACCTGAATGCCCTCCTTTCCAAGTTCTGTCACGCAGGGCATTGGGGGGCAAATGATGGGTCATGCCCAATGACCCAATTCATGTTATAAGCCTGGTCCGAGTTTATAGCCCAACTCCAAGAGATCCAACAAATCTAGTGCAATGTGATCAACCCGATCAAGCTCATCAGGCTAAAAGAGCTACTACATTAGCAAGGAGCAAACAAGGTCATCTAAGAGCCTCCTCCTCTACCACCTTGGAGCAAGGGTCATCCAAGAGTCTCCTTTACCACCTTGGAGTGAGGGAGCATCCAGGAGCCTCACCTATGCCACTCGAAGAGAGTCTACCTTCCCATATCATTTGACCAAGCCCTTTGGAGAACACCATAACTTCCATGCCGGTTGAGGAGAGGAGAGATCTCCAAGCTGTTTAATTACCGTTAAAGTCACCCAAATCCATTATAACTATTAAGTTGCCTCTAACCCGTTATGACCGCTAAATCGTCTATTCAATTACTACATAGATGACTATAAATTGTAAGCTCCCCCAACACTTGGGGGGCATATCAGTCGTTTAAGTATAACACTTTCCTCCTCTCTCAAAACTTGTAACATTTTGCTCTCTTTCTATACCGGAGATAATAAAATACTGACGACCCTTGCCATTTAAAATGGACGTAGGTCACGTTGACCGAACCACTACAAACCTTGTCTTCTCTCTCCCTCTACTTATTTTACTGCATTTTATATTGCATACTTGACAGGTGGTGTGCAAACCAATTTGTGCATCATCAAAATTTTTTAAACGAAAAGGTAAATACTTTTTGGTAATCTAATGGTTAGAACATTTCTTCTAGTTACCAACGATTAATTTTTGTTAATGTAGTTTTAACCCAGGGAATTTCTACCTGCTATGATAGGCAGGCATGTATCCCTATAGAGCATATTTGATTTTTGTGCACATTCCCTTTCATTTACTAATTTATCTCTTTCATGGAAAGAGTCGTTTTGTTCGTAGGTTAAGATTGCAAACATCAAACACCCTTAAGACTCTGCAATGACAAGAGACTTGTACACTAATATGTTCCTAGTTTTGCCTTTTTCTTTTTGTGGGTATTGGCATTTCGCTAATTTTCTTTGTTGCAAAAGTGGAGGTAAGTCTTAAACTTTCTACCTTAGGATAACCAAGAAATCGGATTTCATAGATCTTCAACGGCTTAATTCTTATCTCTGTCACACACATACACATGATATCAACACAATTAGCCAATGATGGATCTAGGGGCAAAGGGTCACCACCACCAATTAAATATAAACACGTTATTATACTTGTATCTAATTCAGTTGTCTCATTAGATTTTTTTAAAAAAATTGTAAGAGGACCTCCTCGACATTCTCTTTCTACCAAACTAAATTTCTGAATCCGTCTTGATCCACATGGAAACATGATAATAGATGCATGCATGCATGCACACCCACACAAGTGCGAATCAATTTAGGTATGCCAAAATGAATGGTGAGCTATGAAGCACGGACACGGGACACAGACACGTAGATACGTAATTTTTCAAAAAAGTAGGACACGAACATGTCGAGGACACGTTGAATAAATATGTTCAAAAATATATTTTATAAGCCAATATAATCCAAACCCAACATTTTTTATCAAGTTAGATATTAAAATAACCAAACCACCACATTATCACTAAATAGCAAAGTCATTAAATAACAGTGAGCATAAAAAAAAAAATTTTGTTCCATTTAATCATCATCCAAAATTCACATTTCAACTTTTTTACATCAAAATAGTTAGCATCTAACATTAGAAACCTTTACAAATATACCAAAAATAAAAACATTGTTCATCCTATTCAAACAAAAGGTCTCATCTCGATCAAGATCATTAAACTTCAATTGCCCCACCACCGCTAGGTCCACTACAACTACCACTACCACTACCACTACCACTACCTCCACCACCACCACGGGCACCACTATCTCCTCTATTACCATCCTCACTAAACACCATGGCCTCCAACTCCGGTTCATCAAGTGAAAGTTGTGCAATCTCAAGCTCTCCTACATTTTGAAATGAATCAAAAGCATCTCTAGCAATATCCCACATCTTAGTTTCTCCTTGCATATATTGTGGAGTTCTTCTTGATAGAAGACAAAGATTGCTATGAATGAAGACCAAGTCTTCGACACGCTTTGGTGTCATCTTATTCCTTCAAACGGAGTGCACAAAAGAATAAGTACTCCAATTTCTCTCACAACATGATGAAGAAGAAGGATGCAAAAGTAGCTTCAAAGCTAAACTTTGAAGCAAAGGTGCACTTGCCCCATAGGTAACCCACCAATTTTTAGGGTCCATTCCACAGTGATCATGGATTGAGTCAATACCCCCAAACTCTCCGGACTTCGTTGAGAAATTGTCAAATTTTTCATGTACCTTTGCACGATCATCCGGATTAGAAAAATATTTTTTATGCATTTCACTCTTTCTAGAGAAACCTCCATATCTTTGTGCAGGGGGAACTCGAGTAGGATCCTCGTGAAGCCATTGATCACTATAGTACCTTAAATAAGAGAAAATAAGAAAGAAGTAAGAAGTAGTGCATGATTAAGAGGGGGGAAAAAGATTAAGAATTAGAAATCACCTTGGATTCAATGAATGGGCAAGGCAATGGAGAGGAGTGTTATTTTTATTCCAACGATCAACAAGAATTTTGTGCATCACATCATAAAATGTGGATGACTCCTCCACCCGCTTTCCTTCATGCCTATATATTGCAATCCTCACTTTTTCTATCATTGTATACCACATTTCATATACCAAATGAAGACAAGGCTTGTCGGTATCACAAGCCCTAAGCACATCATATATAGGAGTTGTAAATGCAAGTATGCAATCAATAGAGTCCCACCAAATGTCATCCAACACCTTCTCTTTCACAAACTTAGCTTTCCCCACATCATCTTCTCTATAGTTACTCCACCTCTCACTAATAACCATGGCTTGAAGAGAACCTTTTATGAGCTTAAATCTTTTAAGCATTACAAGCACCGAGGCAAAATGTGTACTTGCAATAGAAAGCAATTTCAAAGGGACAAATTCATTGAACATGGCCAATCTCATAAAGTGATTCATGATGAAAGTCTTAATAAACACAATATCATCCGCAATATCCATAATCCAAGAACACTCATCAAAGGTTACTTGATTATTTTCAACATTCTTTGCCGCACAAATATTTTGCAAAGCAAGGTTATATATGTGAACCAGACATGGTGTCCAAACAATAATAGGATATATCCCTTCAATGAGATGGCCTGCCCCTAAACAATTCTTAGCATTATCGATAATCACTTGAGTCACATTATCAGGGCCCACATCATGAATTACTTCTTTCATCAAATTGAAAATAAAAAACTTGTCTTTAGTTTCACCCGAATAATCCACATATTTAAGGAACATAGGCCCACCTTCCGTCACGGCCATAAAATTAATTAAGGGCCTCCTTTTTGAGTCACTCCATCCATCACTCACAATGTTCACTCCTTTTTCTTTCCATGTGCTTTTAATGGGTTGTAGCAATCTCTCAATATTAGCATGTTCTTGTTGGAGTAAAGTTGTAGTCCTCAAAGAATTATACCCCAGTGGCAAATAACCCAGAAGAGGATTAGATGCAGCAAATGAAAAAGCACAAACAAAATATGGATTCCTTGCAAGGTGAAAGGGTAAGCCTGCGGAGTAGAACATTCTAGCAATAAGTGCATTTAAATGATCACGCATCTTCAAGTTGAATGCCTTTTCAATAGCCGAAGTTCTTCTGCTTCTAGTCACCTTTCTTTTCTTTGATTCATAACCCCCTTCATCAAAGCTATCCAAATGATCCCCAAATGAGACACTAGGAGGCAATGGTACTTTCTTCGGTGCAACTTTCCTCGATCTTTCCTTGGCTTCATCCTCTAATTTTTGCATATCTACAATATCTTGGCTTGTAACTTTATGACATGCTCCAATTCCATGCTCCAATTCAATAAATGAGCTTGTACTCTTGTGTATGAGCTTTTCTTAGTTTGATTGCAAAAATTACATTGCCAAGAAATATTTCCCCCACCATCACTCAACTTCTCGGATCTTGTAACCTACCTCCAAAAAGGTTTACTTATGTCTTCTTCAGTAGATGGTGCACTGCTAGCTCCCGTAGAACTCATTTTCTTCAATTCTAAATAAGGCCAAAAAATAAAAGGAAAAACAGAAATTACAACAACAGAAAAAAAAAAAAAAAAGTAGCATACAAGTAAAACAACAGAT